AACACTGGATTGATCCTTCTATTAGTGTTGATAAATCTAAAAATGAAAACATTTTGTAATTGTGGAACAAAGATGACTTTCTTCAGTGGATTTATGAGCAGTGATGGCTCAATTAGTTAGGTTCCTGCCACCCTTGTGAGACTCCTGGATTGCCTTCTGGCTCCTAGCTTTGGATAGGCTCAATCCTGGCCATTGTAGACATGTGGGGAGTAGACCAGTGGATTGGAGATGTCTTTCTTTTGGTCTCTGCCTCTCAGATTTAAAAAAAATAAAAAATAAAAAAAAAAAAAATCTGGTGGTAGTACTTAATGTTAGCATTTGTGAAATCCAGGACACTTGCCTATTACATTTTTTTCAGTATTTTTCCATATTCTTGAAATAAATTATAATTAAAAATTAAGAGACGGATTGACACAGTAGGATAAGCTACCACTTGCAGCAGAGGCTTCTCATACTGGAGTGGTGGTTCAAGTCCTGACTGCTATGCTTCTGCTCTAGCCTCCTGCTAATATGCCTGGGAAGCAGCAGAAGATGGCCCAAGTACTTGATTCACTGCCAACTATCTTGGAGACCCAGATGAAGTTCCTGGCTTTTAGCTTTGACTGTGTCCAAACCTATTCATTACAGCTGCTTGGGGAAAGACTCAGTGGATGGAAGATCTCTCTCTGTCAACAGCTCTGCCTTTCAAAAAAATAAATCTTAAAAACACAACACACACAAAAGTTAAAACTCAATAGGCTGATATAATGAACAAACCAGTTGAAAATTGATATCTGCTTGGCCATCGGAGTCTTACATCAGCCTCAGCTGCCATTTAGTTCCAAAATTTGTTCTGGTTACATGTAGAGAGAATATTGTTATTGATATAGCATGAGATTATACTTTTTAATAGTTCATTATTAAAAATCTGTGGATACTCTTCAAATCAAGCTACTTTCACAAAGCTTTAATCTGTGTACAATAATGGGTTAACCTGTTGGCACAAGTTCAAGTGTTGATGATGTGAAAAACATACTTGTTTGGTTATTGCTTTTCAAATTGAGGTAAAACATACACAAGAGATGTAATCATTTCTAGTGAACAGTTCAGTGGTATTAAATATATTTTTGGTATCGGGTTGCTATCTCCACTCTCTGCTGTTAGTGCTGCTTCATCATCCCAAGTGGATATTCTGTACCCATTAAACAAGAACTGCACTCTCCCCCATTCCTGGCCTCTGGGAACCTTAATTCTGTCTGTGCATTTGCCTGGTTTGGGAACCTCATGTAAAGTGGTTGTTACATTAACTTTTCCTTTTAGGTATTCTGTATTTATTTGAGAGCAGAGAGTGAGGTGTCAGATTGTATTAGCTCCATCTGCTAGTTCACTCCCCAGATGCCTGCAGCAGCCAGGTTTGAGCTGAGGCTGGAGCCAGGAGCTGGAAACACAATCCAGGTCTCTCATATGGGTGGCAGGAACTCAATTAACTTGAACCATCCCCACTGTGCCCCAAGGTCTATGGTGAGGGGAAGCTGGATCCAGGAATTGAACCCAGGTACTCTGATGTGGGACGCAGCATCTTAACCTCTAGGTGTGAAATGTACGCTTCAGGAACAGGTGTCTGCAGTGGTTAACATGCCACTTGGCGTGCTTGCATTCCATGGTGGAGTGCCTGGTTTCAAGTCTGGTCTCTGCTACCAGTGCCAGCTTCCTGCTGATGCATGATCTGGGAGGCATTAGGGTGGCCTGAGTGCTTAGGTCCCTATCATCCATATGGAGATCCAAGTTGAGTTCTAGGTTTCAGACCTGGGCCTGCAGAGCCTCTTCTGTTGCAGTCATTTGAGGAGTAGAGTATGGATGAAAAATTTCACTCTTGGCTGGCGCCACGGCTCAATAGGCTAATCCTCCGCCTGAGGTGCCAGCACCCCAGGTTCTAGTCCCGGTTGAGGCGCCGGATTCTGTCCCGGTTGCTCCTCTTCTAGTCCAGCTCTCTGCTATGGCCCGGGAAGGCAGTGGAGGATGGCCCAAGTGCTTGGGCCCTACACCCGCATGGAAGACCAGGAGGAAGCACCTGGCTCCTGGCTTCAGATTGGCGCAGCGCCGGCTGTAGCGGCCATTTGGGGGGTGAACCAACGGCAAAGGAAGACCTTTCTGTCTGTCTCTCTCTCACTAACTGCCTGTCCAAAAAAAAAAAAAAGGAAAATGTCACTCTTTTCCTACCTTTCAAATCAATTAAAAATTCTTTGAAAAACATTACATTTGGGGGCAGGTGGTAAGCTGCTGCTCGGGATGCCCCCATTCCATACCCGAGTGCTGGTTTGAGTCCTAGCTACTTTGCTTCTGATCCGGCTCCCAGGAAGGCTGAACTGATGGCCCAGGTCGTTGGGTCCCTGCCACTCCCAGAGGACACCTGCACAGAGATGTGGCCTTCCAGCTTTGGCCTGGCCCCGCTCTGGCGGTTGGGGTGATCTGGGGGAGTGAACCAATGCATGGAAGATCAGTCAGTCAATGTTTTCTTTAAAAATGTGCGCTCTAAAATCTGTTCTTCTGCATCTGCCTTATTACGCTCACTGTACTGTTTCCAAGGTTCACTCATGTAACATGTCCCAGAATTTTTTTCGTTTTAAGGCTATTCTGATAACCAGTTATATGGATATATTCCATTTTTTGTTTACATTTTTCTGTTGGTGGACATTGGACTTATTTTACTTGCTGACTGTTGTCAGTTATGCTGCTGTGAGCACTGGGGTAGAAATCTCTTGAGTATCTACTCTCAGTTCTTCTGGGCTTGTATCTGAAAGTGGAATCGCTGGGTCATGTAGTAATTCTATGTTTAACTTTCTGAGAAAACACCAAATTGTTTTCCACAACAGCTGTACAATTTTACATTCCCATCAGCAGTGCACAGGACTTGCAGTTTCTCCATAGCCTCCCCAAGACTCTCTGTTGTTTTGACAATAGCCATCCCTGTGGGTGAGAAGTAGTATTGTATCAGGGTTTTCATCTGCATTTCCCCCATGATGGTTGATATTGAGCATCTTTGTGTGTACCTGTTGGCTGTTCTGCATATCCTTGGAGAAATGGCTATTCAAGTCTTTTACTCATTTTTGAATTTTGTTGTAGTTCCTTGTATATTCTGTATATCAATCCCCTGATAAATTATTTGCAATTCTCTTTGTGTGCATTATCTTAAGTATTTTGATAAATGTGCAAAAGTTTTTAATTTTTATGGAGTATAATTTTTTTTCTGTTGTCCATAATTTTGTCATAAGAAATCATTGCCTAAGGCAGAGACAGGAAGCTCTGTGCCAGTGTTTTCCTCTAAGAGTTGTATGGTTTCAGCTCTTGGATCTGTCTGGTTTTTGATCTGTTTTGAGTTAATCTTCAATGTGGTATGAGGTAAGAGTCCTGTTTCATTGTTCTGCATGTAGACAGCTTTTTTTTTTTTTTCTAGTACTATTTATTGAAGATACTTTTAGAAATAGTGGTGAGTGTTAGGCACAGATTGGGATGCCCACATCCTATATCATCGAGTGCCTGGGATTGGGTCCTGGCTCCACTCACTCTTGATTCCAGATTCCTGCTAATTTGTACCCTGGGAGGCAGCAGGTGATGGCTCGTGTAGTTGGGGCTGTGCCGCCAAGATTGCATTCCGAGCTCCTGGCTTCAGGCCCAGCCCTGGCTGTTGTGGGTATTTGGGAATTGAATCAGTGAGAGGGAGATCTGTCTCCCTTTCAGAAAATAAAAATTCAAGAATATGTAAAAATATAGTGTTTTGTGGTTTTTTTTTTTTTTTTTTTTTTTTTTTAGGTAAAAATGTATTTTAAAAAGTAAATTTCAAACTTCTGTAGAACCCCAGGCCTGTAGGGTACCTTGCTTGCTTGGAGATTCCTGGCTTTTAGGAGCAAGAATTAAAAAATTAAGTCCTCTTTCTACTTAGGATTTAAACAACAAAAATGCATGCAAGTATGTTTAGTTTAATAAAACAACAGAAATGTTGGGCTGTGAGTAAAATTAAACCAAATTGGCAGGAAAACCTTACTGTGGAATGAGAAACAGTTACAAATAACGTCTGGAATAGATTTATCTAGGATCATACCCTTGATTGTGTTAAAATTTTTTCAGCCTGGAGTTTTGCTGTATTTGTCCCATTTTTAAGCTACACCTTGTAGTATTTTTTCCAGTGAGGGTGGATTTACCAGATAGACATCAGGAAATGCAAACAGGTAAAATCTTGGATAGTCCCACCCCTTGCCTGTTTGTGACCAATTTCAGCCACTGTTTTCTGTCACGTAGATCTAATCCTGGAATCAGCATTTTATAAGTTCTTCGGCAAAAGAGAAGCACTAGTGTGCAGAAAATCTTTGCTCTCTTGCCTTGAGTCTTCGCTGTTTTTGAGGTTACCAAGTGTCTTGTGTCATCGCTACAACATGATTTGAAATCTGGGTTCTCACTGTGCAGAGAGGTTCCCTGGCTTCAGTCCGCCGCTGGCGGGAAGACTGTATACAAGGGGACTTTATTAGTTTGCATCTTGAATTTTTGCCAACATCAGTTAAGAAAGATTCACGGCAGTTTTGTCACTTCTGTTTTACTGTATGCTTTCAGAAGTGGCTTCCAGGGACTTTGTGTCCGAGTAAGAAGAGCTCAGACTTCAGGTGGAGAGGCGTATCCCTGAACTCACCGTGTCCCACGTGGCTGTGTCTGAAGTGTGGCTTCTGCAGAATGCTGCTGCACAGTACTCAAGTACTGTGGAACTTAGTCCTCCCAGGCGGTGGCACATGTCGCTGCCCCACAGTTGGACTGATTCATACCCAAAAGTCTGTTAAGTGTAGATTGGTTATGATATATTTATGAGGCCGTCTTGACTGAAGTTGGACAGGATGCTTTTTTAAAAAAACATTTGGCCTTGGCCACTGGTTTAAATCCATAAAGCCAAGATTCCTTGCTTGTAAGATGTATCATCGCCGCTGGTATGTTGATGGTTTTATTAAGTGTTAACCACTAAACGATTATTCTTTTAGGTGAATGGAAGAGAATCAGAAGAGGAGAATCTCAATAAATCTGAAATAAGTCAAGTGTTTGAGATCGCGCTTAAACGGAACCTGCCTGTGAATTTTGAGGTAAGTTTATTTTACACATAGCACTTTATATTATAGAATCCTGGTAGCATTCATCCTAGGGATGAGTTTTTTCCTAAATAACATTGAAGCATGATTAGAATAATGTTTACTTAGTGTGAACGTCCACATTTAAGATCCAAACTGCATTTAAAGTTTTATTTAGGAGTCTTGTGTTGGGGCGTAGCAGGTAAAGCTGCTGCCTTTGATGCCAGCATCTATTATGGGCACCGGTTTCTGTGCCGGCTGCTTTGTTTCTCATCCAGCTCCCTGCTAATGACCTGGGAAAGCAATGGAAGACGGCCCTAGTGCTTTGATCCCTGCACTCACATGGGTGACCCGGATGAATCCGCTGGTTTAGCCCTGGCTGTTGCTGCCATCTGGGACGTGAATCAGAAGATGGAAGATCTGTGTCCCTCTTTCTTTCTGTAACTTTTTCAAATAAATAAATAAATCTTTAAAAAGAATAAAAAGCTTTCTAGAAGAATAAAAAGTTTTCACTCTGGGTCCCTAGCACTCTGGGCTCTGCCTGTCTGAGCTTCCTGAGGCGCTTGGTTCAGCTCCTGAGTGTGAGTGCAGAGCTTTCATCAGTCCCCACAGTATTAACAATCTCTCTAAGTGTTCCCTGAAAATCTTGTCAGTAATTTGGAAAGGATGTAGGTGGAAGTCATAGTGCCGTGTCTCTCCCTCATTTGTTGCTAAAATCTAAAAATAATAATTAGCTATTTGCTCAACATGGAAAATAAGTTGCATTTAATCTGTTTCCCTCAAAGACAGCATGATCCATCCAGACTAGAAATGAGGTGGTTTTAGAGTTTCCCTACTCTGCAGACTCTAAGAGCCCACCCATTAGAAGTTTGTTTCCCTATAAATACTTGGGTTTTGTAGCTTTGTTGTTGCAGTTACAGGTAACACCCAGATTTCATGCCCAACTGTCATAAAATGAGGACCTTTTCCTACTGTGTGTCAGCACCCTGAGCTCGCCTCGGGTTCTGTCCTTGGTCCTTTCACCAAGGACTGGGACTTTCGCCGACCATCTGGCATGCTTCCCTGTGTACCGGGTCAGAGGTGGGCTGTAGAGGTGCGCTGGGCCACTCCCTAGCAGGCAAGACCAGGTTGATAGTGTTCCCTCTGGGCTGCGAGTCTCCTCACAGGGCTGGAGCTGGCATCTTGTCCCCTGGTGCGTGGCTCTCCCAACCTGGCTCCCTCTTGGGGCATAGTGGGGGAGGATGGAGCCAAGGGCGGTCTGGACTGACAGGCAGGGCTGCTTGTCAGTTGAGAATGAAAGGGGTGCTGTACCCTGAGAAGTTGTGGGATCTCTGTGGGCATCTGTTGTTGAAAAGGGAAGACATGCTTCTTTTGCCCCATTAAAGCTTTGCTGTGGCACCAGGGCTGCCAAGACTGAAGAGTGGGGGTGCCTGGGCTTCCCAGGACCCTGACCTCTGAAGCTTCTCACCGCTGGCTTGCTGCCCCGGGAGTCAGAGTATATCCTGCAACCTTTTTATTTTTTTTTAATTATTATTTATTTATTTGACAGGTAGAGTTATAGTCAGAGAGAGAGAGAGAGAGAGAGAAAGGTCTTCCGTTGGTTCACTCTCCAAATGGCCGCTATGGCTGGCGCTGTGCCGATCCGAAGCCAGGAGCCAGGTGCTTCCTCCTGGTCTCCCACGTGGGTGCAGGGGCCCAAGCACTTGGGCCATCCTCCACTGCCCTCCTGGGCCACAGCAGAGGGCTGGACTGGAAGAGGAGCAACCGGGACAGAACTGGGGCCCATATGGGATGCCGGCGCCGCAGGCAGAGGATTAACCAAGTGAGCCACAGCGCTGGCCCCTAGCCTGCAACCTTAATGAGAGCTTCCCATTGATGTTTTTGCTCTGTGGGACACTACGGTCAGATTTCTTCCTTTCCCCTTCCACTTTTGTTTAGATTTCAGATTTGGCTTCCAGGGATATGTGCCATGCAACACTTAGGAGGGAATTGCCAAGTAGTCACATTAGGAGAAGTTCTTGGAGCGCCCTCTGGTGGTGAATATCTTTAAAATAAAGTTTTTTTAAAAATATATTTATTTTATTTTTTTGACAGGCAGAGTGGACAGTGAGAGAGAGAGAGAGAAAGGTCTTCCTTTTGCCGTTGGTTCACCCTCCAATGGCCGCCACGGCTGGCGCGCTGCGGCCGGCGCACTGTGCTGATCCGATGGCAGGAGCCAGGTGCTTCTCCTGGTCTCCCATGGGGTGCAGGGCCCAAGCACTTGGGCCATCCTCCACTGCACTCCCGAGCCACAGCAGAGAGCTGGCCTGGAAGAGGGGCAACCAGGACAGAATCCGGCGCCCCGACCGGGACTAGAACCCGGTGTGCCGGCGCCGCTAGGCGGAGGATTAGCCTAGTGAGCCACGGCGCCAGCCTAAAGTAAAAGTTTTAAACATTGCAGGGGTGGGTGGTAGATTGAGTTTGAGCGTATGAATTCTTACGTTTAATAACATACCAGAGGTTCACATTTGTTTCTGTTATTAGACTGAGTAAGGGCTTTCTTTTCTGTTGCATATGGAAGATTACCTGCCAATCTTAAGTATTGTGTATTCAGGGAAGACTTATTAAAATAGACTTAACCAAAGTAGTTAATTTTTTACTGGTTTTTGGTAGTAAAATTTGTCACATTGGAAGCTGGGCTAGATGTTTAATAATAGACAGAAAGACGAGTCATTTGTATGTATAGTCTTATAGAAAAATGTGTACAGGTTGGCCTTTTAAAAAATTTTTAATTATTTGTTTGAAAAGCAAAGTCACAGTGAAAGAAAGATCTTGCATTCGCTGTGTTAGTTCCTGAGTGCTGCAAGGGTCCAGCTTCAGCCAAGCCTACGCCAGGAGCCAGGAACTCCATCTGGGTTTCCTACATGGGTGGCGGGAACCTAAGTATTTGGGCTCTCCTCTGCCTCATAGGGGTGTTAGCAAGAAACTGAGTCGGAAGCAGAGACGGGACTCAGTCCTGGACACTCTGGTATGGGACGTGGGCTTCCCAGTTGGTGGCTTAACCTGCTGTACCACAGTGCACACTCCTAAAGTGTGGCTTTTGATAAATCATAGTTTTAGTTAGAAAGTGTCATGATCCTACCAGATAGGGTCCAAGTCCAGCTCCCGGTTTAGGCTGGTGGGCTCTAGGTGGCAGTGGACAAGGACAGTTGTTGCTACAGATCCCGGTGACCTGGATGAAGCTCCTGGCTCATGGCTTTGGCCTGCTTAGCCCTGGCTGTTGCTGCCGTTTGGGAGGTGAATTCGCAGTGAGCCGTCAGTAGCTGCCCTGTGCATCTTCAGTCTAATGTGAATCCGTGGAAAGCGCTGTTCAGGAAAGGAGTGTTCCAGACTCTAGGCCCTGGTGTAGGGAGCACTGGGCACATCCTGGAAAACCCCTCCGTTGATTCCTGTGTGGGCTAGGTCCTTCCCAGTGCCCCTGCTCCTTTGCAAGGGGCGCAGGCCCTGTGCTGAGACCCGTCTTGGCCTCACGTCCTGCACAGCTGTTTCTGGGCTCACTTCTCTTTCCAAGCCATTTTTAAACTTTATTTTCAAAAATTTTGAACTTACAGAAAAGTTGCAAGAATTGGACAGTGAATTTGTCCTTAGATTCACCAGCAGGCCAGATCTTTGCTTTTTGTTTTTCTATGAATGTGCATATTTTAAGTTCTATTTTTTGCTTTTGTTGAAACATTTAAAAGTAAGAGTTCTCATACCCTTTGACTCCTAGTATTTCATCATGTATCTTTTTTTTAAATAATTTTTATTTTTAATGGGCACATAGTATTTGTACATATTTTTGGGGTACAGTGTGGCATTTTGGTATATTTATTCATTGCATAGTGATCATATCGAGTAATTCTTTCAGTGTGTATCTAAAGAGGAAGAACATTCTTTTAAGTAACCGCGATCTAATTGTTGAAGAGAGAAAATTTAGTATCGCAGTGTAACCTGATTTACTTTTTTTTTTTTTTTTTTTGAGAGGCAGAGTGGATAGTGAGAGAGAGAGACAGAGAGAAAGGTCCTCCTCTTGCCGTTGGTTCACCCTCCAATGGCCGCCATGGCTGGTGCGCTGCAGCCGGCGCACCGCACTGATACAAAGCCAGGAGCCAGGTGCTTCTCCTGGTCTCCCATGGGGTGCAGGGCCCAAGCACTTGGGCCATCCTCCACTGCACTCCCGGGCCACAGCAGAGAGCTGGCCTGGAAGAGGGGCAGCCGGGACAGAATCTGGCGCCCCGACTGGGACTAGAACCTGGGTTGCCGGCACCGCAAGGCGGAGGATTAGCCTAGTGAGCCGTGGCGCCGGCCCTGATTTACTTACTTACTTACTTACTTACTTACTTACTTACTTTCTTTCTTTCTTTCTTTCTTTCTTTCTTTCTTTCTTTTTTTTTTTTTTTTTTTTTTTTTTTGACAGGCAGAGTGGACAGTGAGAGAGATAGACAGAGAGAAAGGTCTTCCTTTACCACTTTACCATAGGTTCACCCTCCAATGGCCGCCGCGGCCGGCACGCTGTGGCCGGCGCACTGCGCTGATCCGATGGCAGGAGCCAGGTACTTCTCCTGGTCTCCCATGGGGTGCAGGGCCCAAGCACTTGGGCCATCCTCCACTGCACTCCCGGGCCACAGCAGAGAGCTGGCCTGGAAGAGGGGCAACCGGGACAGAATCCGGGGCCCCGACCGGGACTAGAACCCGGTGTGCTGGCACCGCAAGGCGGAGGATTAGCCTAGTGAGCTGCAGCGCCAGCCTGATTTACTTTCTATATTCATATTTTGCTAATTGTCTAAATGATTCCCTTCAGGAATCTTTTCCCCTTTCGCATGTCAAGTTGGCTTTCATAGTTGACGTGTAGATCGCCCTGTTGAGTTCCTTAGCCTTTCTTTGTATTTCTTGTCATTGACAGATTTGGAGATCAGTTACTTTGTTCTGATGGCCCTCCATTTGGGGGTGTGTGCCTGCTTCCTCATGATTGGATTTGGGTTATGTGGTTTTTAGCA